AACTTATGTACATTTTTACAACTTTAGTTTAGTTAGGGCTAAACTTTACTGTTCTTTATACTTTCAGTAAATAACTTATAATGTTATTGTATGACCTAACCTTACACCTTTTTAAAAACTTTGATAAGCTTTTAATGCCCCTCAGTAGCACAGTGGTATGTCTGCAGACTTATTCCACTGGAAACCAGGTTTTGATACTCATCGTGGGCAGTGCATAGATAGCCTTTTGGGTTTAATTACAAACAACAACAACAACAATAAGCTTTTAACATGTTGTACAAAATGCCTACTAAAGTATATTTACATCTGCCTTTTGTTTACATCCATTGGAAAGAAGTGTGCATGCATGTACATTTAGACAGAAAGTTACACTTGTTTTTTCGGTACAGACAAAAACTGAGAATTAATATAATAGATTCTTTATTTATTGTTATAAAAGTAACTAAAATGTTAAAATTAGAAACTTATTATGTTAGATTAGATTAGATGAAAGTAATAGTAATAATATAAATCCTTCATGGGGTATGTTCGTGAGCAGCTTGTGTATTAAATCATTCAATAAGGTAACACGAGTTATGCCTTTGTCAAGTGATTACAATTTGCATGGTATGATTATTAGTTAGACTTGGTTGAAAGAGCAAGAAAACAATAAAATTAGATAAACTATTATGAGCCGTAAGCTGTTATGGATAAATAGTTGTGAATTTCTGTTACAATCTGCAGTTATCCTAGAAAAGAAAAAATGGTAATTTAGCTTTTATTTATTTATATTTTTTGTGGAGGGTACAATGTCAGTCAAATCAACTGAGTCCACAAGAGTTAGGATAGGGAAGATAATAGATAAAATATCAAATTTTACTGAAAGAAAAGGTTTAATATTCATTTAAGAGGTTTTGAGGTTGAGGAAATTGTAAGATGAAAAAATCACCTTCACTCAGACTAGTCAACACCCTGATTCCATATGTTCTTGGAAAAAATACAGTTAAAAATCAAATTTTTTGTGTACTAAAGACTTGTAATGTTTATTAAGAGATTGCCAAGCTTTACAAAAGTACACAAAGTAAATTGGGAAGTATAGTAATCGTTAATTTTCCAGTATAGGCTCAGTAAAAGCATTACTAAGATGGGGAAAATTTAACCACCTGTAAAGATAATCTGGCCTCTCAGACCAAAAAATTAACAACAGCCAGATGAGAAGCCATGAACATTGTGAAAAAAAAAGGACATATGATGATGTCAAAAATATTGTCCATGTGGTAATGGGACTGGTTTCCTGTAAATGGCCAAAGTGGAACATTATGGGGAGAGCCTTGAAACTCAAGTAAACTAATCTTGGCAGGTACATGAGGAAGAGAGTGAAAAAGAAGGTAGGATAAAGGAAGAGGTTCTACTAAGATTGTCTCAAAGTATTCACTGCCAGAGAATTTGAGTCTGGAACTGGAGACCAGTAGAGTAGGTGAAGAAGATTGACCAATCTAGCAAAGGAATCATTCATTGGACAACCAACTTTTTGCATAGCCACTGAAAATCAAAGGATGGAGTGATAACTCTGTGAAATCATTGAATTACAGAAAGTGAGTATACCAAAATTTTCATCCCACCAGGAATGTGACAAGCTTGAAGGTGAACAAGTTGAGAACAAAACCAAAAAAATAAGTTTTGAAACTGCATCATTGCAAAGGATGCAAGACAGAATACCATTCTTTTTGTAGATGTAAGCTACTATTATGAAATTGTCTGTATGAACTAACATAGAATGATAATGTAGAAGGGTAGAAACTCAAGCACACTAAACAGTCCAAAGCTCTTACATGTTGATTGGAGCTGTTGCTTCTTGAGGAGTTCAATAGCTATAATGAAGCAGATTCACTAACATAGCACTTTGAACAAGAAGAAGGCATCTGTGATAAGATGAATATCTGTAGGATGAAGAAAAAAAATTAAATCTTGGCTCAACCAAAATTTAAGAAACATGAAAGCAGTGAAAGAAGTAGGCATGTTTTGTGACAACAGGCTTGAAACCAGATTCCACTTAAATGCAAGGTCCCATTGGAGGTGTTGCATCTGAGCTCACCCCAAAGGAATGACTTTGTGAAATGAAGCTGTCATCCACAAAGCAGAAAGGATATCTTTGGCAATTGATATGGAAGTCATAAAAGTATGTACACAAAATGTAAAAGCTTGCAGTGCTGTAGGAGATGGTAGAAGTATATTTTGAACTGTGTTGAACCACAAAAACACAGTATTTGGTACTAAATGATAATGAGAGTTATGGATGATCCATACAAGTGACTGAGTAGAAGAAAAGGATAGAGTAAACCAAACATCCGTGTAAAAGTCATAGAAATTAAATGCTTTGATTACTCAACAGAAAATGTGTAAAGTCCAAGTCAAATCAAATAAATGGACAGTAAACTGATAAACCACTCCAAATGACAAAAATGAAGAAATGTCAAGGAGGTTGGATGAATAGAGATATGAAGGTAAGCATCCTCTATGTGCAGTATTGTCATTCAATGGACGTGGTGAAGAATCTTTCATAACAACCTCATGTTTCCTGTTGTAAAATGAGGTATCTCTATGAAAAGATGAGTTAAGACACATCTGTGACAGTTTCCAAACTCTTGTTGTTTTTGGAACCAAAAAGAGATGAGAGTACAAACCCAGTGATTTCTGATAAACCATTTTGACTACTTCTCTCTTAAAAAGATTTGAGACTTCCTGATCCAGAGTTTATAAGCAACTGAATTGGAAGGAAGAGAACAACTTAATCCTGCAAAGACAAGCATCTTAAACAAACCATACTGTGCATGGTAGAAAACTGCCAGTGAGTAAAAATCGAAGGCTACCATGTTTAAGTATCCCCATCCCTCTCAAAATAAGTACTTGTGCAATAAGTTGAGCAAATGGAATTTACCCCATTAAAAAGCTGTTAACATTTTCATTAGTTCTAAAAGTATCAGTAATAACCTGTAAATAAGGAGATAAGAAATATAAGTATTCAAGAAATGAATATGTCTTCCAGCAGGATATTAGCACAGAAATTAGAACAGCAGAAGCTTTTTTCAGAATTAGGACTAGATGACAGATTCTGCCCTTTTAGATAATAAAAGTTAATAGGTCTCAGCAAAAGAATTTTTGTTTGTTTGTTATATTATCATTATGAGAAAAAGGTAGAGGTTCCATAATTGAGAGTCCTTAGGAATTTGAACCTTCCAAGGACACCAGCTGACAATATCAAATTAAAGACCTGAATATATTGGTCAGTAAGGGCCAACATTACAGTCATGGGAACTCCATGCACACTAGAGGCAAACTAAGGCCCCCAGAGAAGTTATTTCTGATATTGACAGATTTGCAGCAGTAATCAACATCATCTCCAGAATTCATAGTGAGTGGAGTTTACAGCACAATTGTCACCAATTAAAATATGGATGATGGCTGGAGAGCAGAGCTTATATACATCCCACTGACACTAGAGCAAGAAATCACATGGAAGGTAAGATAATAGAGAACTGTGGGTAAGCTGAAGTATGCTGTACATTGTGTCAAGAACATTCAGACTTTTTTTGTAATGTTGTTGTTGAGAACATGAGAACAACTCAACAAAGAAAGGCTTTTTGTATTTCAATGTTGAACCTGCCTCTTTTGAAGTTTGGTTTTACTATATTGAAAGAAACTATTTTATCATATCCAGAAAAATATACCAACTAATCACTTGCAACAGCTTTACCAATATCTTTGAGGTATTAGAGCAAAAAAAAATAAAAAATATATATATATATATATATATTTAAATTAGTGAATTGATATTCTCATTCTTCGAATTTGTTTTTATAATTATTGTGGAAATCAGCTTAGTAAATGCTCCATTTTCCAAAGTGTGTCATCATAAACATAAATCAGGTTGGCAGTTTTTTTAGGGGGAGGGGGGTGTTAAAAGACCAAAGACTGGTTGACTAAGAACTTGTTCACATTCATAACATTTTGACTCTAGCAACAGGGAAATTTCACTCCTGATTCTTATACTTACAATTTTGAACTCCCAACCTAAAGGTTAATTTTTTTATATCAAGAAGTTTTTTATTCTTTTTAAATGTAAAGTCTCTTGTAGTTATAAAAATGTATGTGCCTGAAAATGGTCATCAAAAGGATATAGTATCATAACATTTGATGAATATAACCTTAGCTCTCACTGTTCTGTCAAGTGCATTAGTGTAAATGATTATTTGAAATATAATTCACATTTTGTTTTCATCTATATTTTTTTGTTTTGTTTGATTTTAAGGATAACTTTGCTCATTATGAGAGCTTATTACATCACTCAGTAATGATGTGTGGTAAAATTGTTATATGTATTACTAATATCACAATTTTTACACACTAATGTTGTTTTCAGATCTGTTTCAGAAAGTTGTGTTATCAGAAATCCTCATCAAGAAATAGCACGTGCTTTAATCTCTGTACATAGATCAGGCTGTTTGTTAGAATACACAGTGGTGTTATTCTGCACAAAACATTGAATTCAATATACCCAATAAAAACATGTCTAAGCAAAGTTATGGAACTAATCACTTAAAATATTTATTTTAAAAGACTTTCTTAGGTAACATATTACAAAGTAATTGTAGCAGAATAATATTATCTATTGAAGTTCTAAGTGTAATAAACATACAATAACATATATGGTTAACCATGAGCTGTTCAGACATTTTTCTTTTTCTTTCTGTCGAGTCCAAAACCCGTGTCATTGATTACCTAGATAAAAGAGTATTTTTTGTTATAGTATAATAATGTTTCTTAACAGACATTTAAACAAAGTTCTGTCATTCTCTACTCCATTTTCTTGAGTATGCAGTGAATGTTAATCTTTATGCTATAACTACCCAATATTGTTGAGTTTTTTTTAAATTATTGATAAAATAAGTTTTGGTACTGTCTGCATAAAATAAACATAGATAATCATACATTAGTGAGGTTTGGTACTTTTTTCGTAACAGGGACTTTTTACTTGATGAATCAGTGGAGAAGATAACAACTTGTGAAGTAGAATGTGATTGTCAAAGTAAAGATATTACCAATCATCTTGAAATACAAGGTAAGTCTAGTATTAGTAGTATAGTCCTTGCTTAAAATATTATTAAACAAAATATAAAATAGTTATTTGTCCTGTTACAGTTATCTTTCATTTTGATCCTTAAAAGCAAAGTACCTATGTAGATCATAACTAAAAATTAAACCACTGATGAATGTAGGGAATTTATTGTACTGTTTTTGCTTACAAATATTAGAATGCATTGTTTCATCATTTGGGTAACCTTGCTGTTAATGATATTTTCAGCTGTAATCATAATAACATGTAATGAGGTTTGGTTAGCTTAGGATTTAGGTTAGCCCTAAATTTATATACTAAGCTAACAACACAAAATAATCTATATAATAAGAATACACCAATAATAAACATCCTAATGAATATTGTTAATGAAAGTAAAATTATAGAAATAATAAAGTATATCTTACAGAACACATACATGCTATTGTTCAAACAACCATGCACAGATTATTACAAAATCAAGATAGCAATTTGTTACTAAAGTTGATGATAAAATATGCTATTTGATGAAATTCATTTGCTAATAAATCTCAAGTCCACAAATTTATTCTCACCACAAACACATTTTGGCTCTAATAAAATATAAAGAATTGTGAAGGGACATAAAAATGTCTAAGGTTTTATTTAACAAGTGTAAATGCTGATAAAATCATTATAGCAAACTTTTACACTTTTCATTTGGAAAACTCACATTGGTATAATAAAAGATGTTCCACATATTATAAATACTGAAACCAATAATATTTTTTATATTTTTAGAATTGAAAGTTGTAAATATAAAAATTTAGCTGGTACATTAATAAATGAATCACTCAGCCAAGTTAAAACTCTAACCATATTGTCCAACAATGAGCTGCCTGTGATGTGCCCACTGCATGATCGAAACCCCAAATCTTAGTATTACAAGCATTCACACTTACTGCTGATGTATAAAAGGGTGAAATTCTGATATAGTACTTTACCTTTCTCACATAATAGCTATTCTTCTTTAATGCTGCCCTTTTTATGCATTTTTTTTTTTTACATCCCACAAGCCTATAAACTTCCACCTACCCCACATTCAATGTGGTACACTGTGTCTTTGTTAACCTATGGCAGAAATTTACTCCCAACCCATGAATGATCTAGGATTATTTAGACAGACTTTCTCCATTATTCTTCTCACCACCTGCTTTGTCTCCAATTCCAGTTTCTTTCTCATTACCTGAGGATTCTGTTACCAGTCAGTGTTATTCTGAAGCTGTTTGGACTCTTCTCTCAGCATGCTATTGTGCCTTTCAGTCTTCCTTCTCCTGGTTTTTACTCCAGGCTTTTTGTCATCCCCAAGATGACTGGAGACTGGAGTCCTGTGATCAGTCTGTTCCACCTCAACCAATTTCTGGATCTTCACCGCTTTACCATGGTACCTTTTCTCACCTTTTGGTGGGCTTTTTCTCCAAGTTCGTGGATGACCAAGGGATGTCTTGGGTGCTTATCTTCATATTCCCATTTGTCCAGCTACTACCTTAGGTTTGTCCACAACAGGGTTGTGTTTCCATTTTGTGCTTTACCTTTCAGGCTTGCCTCAGCACCATATGCATTTTGTTGGGTGATAAAAGCCTTCGCCTGACTTTTGCATTCTCAGGGGTTGTCCTTCCACCTTTACATGGATGAATGGCTTCTGTTAGCCCCTTTCAATTTGTGGGGTACTCCTCATTTTGATGCTTTTACTACTGTCCTCAACACCCAGTTTCCTCTTTGGTCTCTGCTTTCTCATCCACAGCCCCTGGAGGTAGATGCTCTTAACCAGGATTGCACCAATTGGTATCTTTATGTATACCTCCTATCCATCTCGTTTCCAGTTCCCAAGGTGATTTCAGTCATCCTTTCCTCTCCTTGTCCAGTTCTTCTGATTGCTCCTTACTGGACAGCACAACCTTGATGGTCCGGCATGGACAGATGGTTAGGGTGCTCGACTTGCAATCTCAGGGTTGCGGGTTCAAATCCCCAACCCCACCAAACATGCTAACCTTTTCAGCCATGGGGGCATTATGATGTGATGGTCAATCCCACTATTTATTGGTAAAAGAGTAGCCCAAGAGTTAGCAGTGGGTTTTGATGAGTAGCTGCCTTCCCTCTAGTCTTTCACTGCTAAGTTAGGAACAGCTAGTGCAGATAGCCTTCATGTAGCTTTGTACAAAATTCAAAACAAACAAACAATCTTGATTTTCTCTTCTCCTTCAGCTGTAAAATGCACTCCCTGTTCCTTCTTCCTTTCATTTTGTCCTTCCTCCATCAACCTCGGTCACTAGACCTTCATCCCACTGTCTGACTTCATGCCTGGCATTTATCAGGTCCAAGGCAAGATCTTGATTGTCTAGACATGTCACTTTCCTTGCAGCATGGACTTTTCACCCTTCCTCTCTTGAGGTTTATCAACATAAATTGAAAGTCATCTGCTGTTGGTAGTTGAGTCAAGGTTTTCTCCTTCTCAGCTTACTGTTTCTCACTCTATGGATTTCCTCACTTAGCTATTCAATCATAGGGCTTCTGTCTCTTCCATAGCTGGTTATCAAGCTGTTTTTCCTAGTACCGTTTGGTGTTATTCTCTCCTACCATCTCTCTTTTATTGCATTCCTTCTGTATTTGTAGATTTCCTCATTGAGCGGTTCTTTCAGATTGGAATATCAATACTGTTCTTCACTGCCATACACTCCCTCCATTTGAACCTTTGTCCTCATGTTCCATGTTTCACCAATCCATTAAGACTTATTTCCTGCTCCTTTTAGCCCCTGGGCATGTTGATCTATTTGCCATTGACATTTCATGTACTTTGTTCCATTTCACATATGTTCTCCTTTATGTAGATCGATCTTTCCTGCCCACAATTTTGGTGGCTTGAGGGACATTCATCCTTCTCACCAATTTCACTTCCATTCATTTCCCATCCTTATTCCCAGTCTCATCTGGACAGACTTCAATGTCCCATACATGCTCTTCTTTGTTACATTACCCTCATGGCCTCCTTTTGTGGCTCCTGTTCCCACCTTTTCATCCCCTGGCAACATTTCTCTGTATGTGACCTTTCTCCTTCTACCCTTACAAATGAGATTTGTCAAGTGAATTGATTGGCGTATTCCTCCCTGTCTTCTTTTTCCCGTAATTTGTTCCAGGTGCTGTCACATCAGATCAAGCACTTTACCTTTTCCTTGGCATATCATCTCCATCATCGATTGGAGGAAATTCTCACTCAGGCATGTTGACTACAGCTCGTACATTCATATCCCACTATCTTCACCAAATAGCTGTTTATTCCTCGTTGGGGTACCTCTTTCCACCTGTTGCCATCACTGAAACTTTGGTGTGGCTGTGACTGGGTAAGTTACCTTTTCTATATATTTTTTATTCTTTCAGTGGCTTGTCCCATTTAGATTCAGGATCCCCCTCAGTGGTGAGCATTGTCTGTCCAAGTATGCTTCTTATTTCTGAAATCTGCACTTTCCGCCAAGATGTATACTCATGGCCAATAATGCACACTGTTGAGATTGGGTGTTCCACAAAATCGCTAGTAGGTTTTTCTCACGATATATTTGCTTTATAAGTATGGCCTTTTCAGACCATACTCACCCATGGGCTTACATTGGTCAAGCAGAAGGGGATAGCTGCCTATACCTGCAGTCCCTTCGATTGAATATATTGTGGTTGGTCTGCTTTTCAATATACGGTTATCATGGTCACCTATTGCACTTTCTCCGGTGTTGGCATTTGTCCGGACCATCCAACATCATTTTGTCTCCCTTGTTCTTTGCCACTTTCTGGTTCCAAGCCACTGGAGTGGTAGACCATGGAGGAGTCCTCCTGAATGTGATCACTTCCATTCAGCTGAGAGTAGAGCAGTGGTGATCTGCTGGTGTAGATGGGGCAATCAATCCTTCAGGGGTCCCAGAAGTTGATGTTATGCCCAGCTTCCTTGTAGTTCTATCCAGAGCTTGAGGTTGCATATATTTTCTGGAAGCAATCCACTTCCATGTGGTCAGACCCAGAGGTAGGCATTACACACCAACTTCTGTGCAGTCCTATCTAGGAGATGATGTTATGCATGTTTCACAAAAATACACTCCACCTCTATGCGGTGGGTCCTGGAGGTTGACGCTGCACTCCAGCTTTTGTGCGATCCTATCTGGATGATGATGTTGATTGGGGTGAAGGTTCTCCCTCTAGCAGTCCACCTCAGAAATCTGAGGCTGCTGTTATGCAGTGGGGTGCCAATCTGATTGGGTTTAGCTTGATGTGACCTACCCCATTGGCACATCCCTTCATACCATCATCCAAATGTCAGGTTCCCAGATGTATGGGTGGTTGTGGATTTGTGCACATGTGCCCCATTTCGTAGATTGGTTTGACAAGTGTATACTTCTGTTCTACTTAACTTGAAGTGAAGACAGTGTGGATCCTCCACCTACCACAGTTCAAACATTGTATTCCCAGTGCTGCTTGATTTTGGACTGGAGTTGACCAGTCCTACATGATCTGAAGTGCCAAAGCCACTCTATACCCTGGGGCACATCCAATTTAGCTTTCCCCAAATTCCTGTATGTGGTTGGTTCTTCTACAGTCTTTCTTCACTGGAATTGAGATTCCGGTATGTTGTGGTTTGAATTTGAATCCATCCAGTTTACTCTCCCTTTTGTGCTCCTCCCACTTTACACCCATGTATGCAAAATCTATTTCCACACTGGGCAAAGAGTACATCTGGTACAAAAGTGGTGTGATCTCCCATGTATGTTCCTCACCCAACAGTAATCACACTTCATGGGTGTTCTTGAGATGTTTTTGAAGGATACTTTTCTATATTCCTGACACCAATCCCTTCACCTATTCATTGCAAAATTCTGGCTATACATGTAAGGAGAGGTAAGTTATTATTATTATTGGAAGCTATTATTTTCCTATTCTGAAAATATATTTCCAATAGGTACTTACCTCTAAACACACTTACCATCCTTCCTCCCCACTAAAAACTGGTGCTTCCTTTCTGTCTAATCTCAAAGTGACAGTTCAGAAGAATTGAATAGAGGAAGCCATATGTATCAGGATGGTGTTTTGCACTCCTGTTGATGGAAGGTTGTCGTATGATGACTTACATGCGAGACACAGTGGGTATGTGGAAGTTCAAGGCTTGTAACATGTGAAATGTTTTGCATATAGAGGGCAGCACTGAATGAGGATAGTTATACATATGAGAGGGGACAAGTACCTATCAGTAATATATTTTCAGTATGGGAAAATAATAACATTTCTACTAGAAATTTTTCTAGGATGATAATCTTAGCTAGAATTTGGTTTATTTAGATATTAATCTTTTTGGTTAACTCTCTGTTGTCACTTTTCTATAGTGCATTAACAGTCTGTATTGGGATCCTTTATTGAGATTGATTCGTTAATCATAATTTTGTATAGTTTCAGAGTTTTAAATTATGTAATCTGCTGATATGTAAAACCTAAGAAGTAACTGATATTTCACTCCCAAGGTACATTATCTGTGTATTTAATTTATTAAGGAAATTCAGTTTTCTAATTATATCTTGAAGGATCAATAATAATTTAATGCTTGTAAGTGATGATTGAGTGTAAAGATTTAACTGGAAACATACTATTTATAGAGTGATGTAAAATGTTGATATTTTTAGTTTATACAAACATTTATGTCAAAAACACATAGTAATAAAAGATTCATTCATTCAATTTTTCATTTTAATTTAATAACACCAATAATTACACTTTTTGCCTAATTATTTTGAAAAATAAAATTACAAAGTTAACTAAGAAACACACTATGGGTAAGTTCACGTAGATATTGAATATTTAATTTACACCTACTAGATTCAGTATCAAAACTATCTCCAGAAAGTACTGTCTCAGTTCTTGATAACTATTGAACTGTATGAATAGGTTAGAATTATTAATCAAAAAGGAAGTTTTTGTTTTTTTCCATTATGACTGGAGGAATGTATCTTCATATAAACATGATTACTTTTCCTCATAACCTTATGGTTATTGTTATATACACTGTTTGCAGTTGCAACTTTCAAATTAAACCTGACTTTTGAATAGATTAACAGATTATGTCTTTTTATAAGTACAGGCTTGAAATAAAAGCTAACATATTTAGAATTCCAAGCATGACTTGAAGTATCACAAGGTATCTTGATTATGTTTCAGTAATGTGCAGTTTGGCTTTACACTGTAAACTTGAAATGCTTTCTTTACAAAATGATTGGAAGGTTCCCGCACATCATCATTGAAAGTCATTAAATTCGAAAATGTGTTTTTAAGGCCCTTAAAAGTCATTAGAATTAATCTCTTGTTATTAAGAGTCATTAATTCAAAAACAAAATCAGCCTAAGAAAATTAAAACCTCAGTCAAACAGCTTGTGATTAATACTAGTATTTCTACCTCATATTTTATACTAATGCTGCTACTTCTTGAAAACTAATGCTGCTACATCTTTGTTTATTCTGAAGAATACAGAATTAACAATATGGAAAAGGCAGCAGTGTCTTATAACTATCACAGTTTTCCCATCTCACTAGCAATGTGTCAAAAGCCATTAAGAATTCAACTAAGCTGCTCAATTTGTTTCTCTCAAAAAAATTTGCCTTGAAAAGAAGTTCAATGTCAATTATCTGTATAGAACATAATGTCATATAATACATCATTTGATACCTCATTTCTTTGGCTTTCTATTGGTTATAAATACAGTATAATTAAACATCAGAGAAATTATTAGTAAATTGTGACTTCTTGGAGGGGTGGGAAATAAATTAGAGAAGAGGTGATGACTAAAGAACAGATGTAACAATTCTCACACTAGGGAAGATTGAGGTTATTTTCCAATATTTACTTATTAAATTAAGAACTTAAAACTTTAATAATATGAAAAGATGATTTATTATCTATGTTTGATGTCAAGTTTATGTGTATACCATGATAATTAAGTTGTTTAATTATATTTTGAATGTAAGTTACTAAAACATTGTGCAATGTGCAATTTGACTGGCCCATTGCAAGATGGTTAATTTATTTGTTAAATGTAACAATTTATTGCATAGCACTGAGTGCCTTTGGTGTTTTTAGGCCTATATTTAACTTTGACCTTACAAATGCTGCTACTCTCTGCCATGTTTATTTTGGCAGAAAACTTAGCATATTCAGCACTTCACAATAGCAGACATATGTGTATGCTTCTGTAAACATCACGAAACAATCAGAAAACAAACTTTATTGTGATAAAGTACTTCTGTCTATTTTATTGAAAAGTCATTATTTTTCAAAGCCGCTAATCTGCAGGAAGCTCGGATTGGTATACAGGTAACAAATTGAGTATTGTTGTAACATTTCTGTTGTTCTCAAGTACTATTGTAGGTCTTGTAAGTGATATAATATGGTAGTTATTTTATGGTAAAAACACAAGTTTCCTTTAAACATATTATTAATCAAAATTTAACACTTAAATAATCAGTGCTGCTCATGCTGAAAGTATGGTGTATAGAAATGTGTTAAACTTACCAAACATCAGGTGTAATTTGAGTTCAGTTTCTATAAAAGAAGTACAATAAAATATAATTACATAATTCTACCAGCAAAATATTTGTGATGTGTTTTAATACAATATTATTTTCAGAAAAGAAAAACAATACAGAAATGTATATTTCAAGTAAATGTAAAATATATATATACTTTTTCTGCAATTTCCAGACCTAAAAACACAATTGGATTACAATTTATATATATATATATATATTTAGTCAGTTATTCTGTTAATATCTTGTGTGAGTGTAGTGTTTTTAAGTTATTTTAATTGTATTTTAAATAGTTTTTGTTGCTGTATGTGGTTGATATGATAACATATCATTTCAGGATTTGAAAGGACAAATCCTGGCTTAAAAGCTATTTGGGAAGATGCAAGACGAAGAAAGCTTGACAATGGTGAATCTTCAAAACTAACCCCTCAGCAATCACAAGGTGAAGATTTTATCAAGTCTGAGCATTAGATGTTTTCAGTTTTGATCATGTAAAGCATTTGTTTTCTATGTTTGCTACACTACAGCCTTTTGATGTTTATAAATATTTTTTTTTATCAGAGAATTAATCTTTGCATAGGAAAATTTTTTAAGAAATAAAGCACACAAAAACTGGCTCTTACTCACATTAATTGATATTAAGAAAGCATATAGGATATATGAAAAAAGAGAAAGAAGATGCAAAGAAATATAATGCTCATTTGAATAACATTTTCTATCCTCATCTTCTCTGGGATAATGAGAGCTGGTACTTTACAAAATTCTAGTTCTCTGATGGTTATTTTGTAAAATTTTATCTCAATTATTAAGCAAATATGTTTAATATTTCAGTAAGTGACTGTTTATAGCCGGTAGTTTTGCAAAAGAGTCAGCTGTATCCTTTTTTTAATTTTTGTCAAAATTGTGGATAGTTAATTTTATTGATTGTATAGTGCTGGATCCAAAGAAGTTCAAACTGATACAAAAACTTATTTTTTTTTTATTCATAAGTATATACTTTTAATGCTTATTATCAGTTTGATTCTTTAACGGTTTGATGTACTAAACGAACAGTTAATTTTTGACCAAAATAGCTGCTGTGTGGACTTATGTTATCAAATATATCTATTTGTTTTAATTTTAGAATTTAATCAAAAGAAATGCCAAACTGAGCTTAAATGTTAATAACTGAGTGTGAAAATTGTTTGAAAATTTTAAAATATAATTTTCTTTTAACTTGTATATAGAGCGTGAAAATGTTAAGGAATCAGAGAGTGCCATTCTTCTAAAGCAAAAATTGTGGAAACTTGTACAGAATGTTCCAATGTAAGTGTTTTCAAAACATCTGGTACATCCTGACATTAAAAATAAGATTTTCATGCTGTATAGGTTTCAGTCAGAATAACTGGAAACTTTCATACCATATATTTTTTAAAAAGTTTTTACAATTTGTACCTGTGCTTACACCTTAAATATACAGTGTCAAACTTAGAAAACATTTTACTACTTTGTTCATAGTTTAAGAAAAATAAACACAAATAATTCACACATTTTATATTTAAAAAAAAAACCATCAAGTACATTTTATGCAGTTTTTCTTTAATTATTTTAAAAGACCCCCCCCTTAGTGGCACAGTGGTATGTCAATGGGCTTATACTAGAAACCAGGTTTCAATACCCATGCTGGACAGTGCACAGATAGCCCTTTGTGTAGCTTTGTGTTTAATAACAACAACATCAAATTGTTTTAAAATTAAAAGTAGAAATTGAAAATTGTGTTACTGTTTTGTATTTTCTGGGAAGGTAAAATACTGTTCTATTTTGTAATATTATGAGTATTTCTACAGTCACAAATTTGTTTTTACCATTAAAAACATTTTAAAGCTAATTATCAGTTGGGTCTGGCATAGCCTGCTAGTGAGTGTCCTCAGCTCGCAATCTTCAAGTTGTGGGATCCAAATCATGCTCGCCTTTCAGCCATGGGGTGTTAGAATATGACGATCAGTCCCACTGTTTATTGATATATAGTAGCCCAAGAGTTTACAGTGAGTAGTGTTGACTAGCTGCTTTCCTTCTAATCTGTCATTTCGAAATTAAAGGATGACTAGTACAGATAGCCCTCAAGAAGTTTTTTATTTGATAATTTATAGTTTATGTTGTTTTTGAGTAAGATCAAGAAACTACAATAACCTAATAACTGTTGAAAATAAAATATTTATTATTTAAGTTACTCTTCATACAAAAGTAAAAGTATATACTGGTTCACATGGGACTTGTGCTGTGGTTACGTTTTTGTTTTTCTTGGCTACATTTCTTTTCTATTAGACAAAATAATCTTCAAAAGTATATTTATGTAGATCAAACAAGTATAAAATATCAAACAAATGGAACATCTTAAAAATGATATAAAATTACAGATTAGTTTTACTAAGGTCTACTGGTGTTTTCTACAACAATGGATACATTATTTGATAACAATATTGTAATAATTTTTGTTAGACATGATAATACAGAAGTATGTACATTTTATTACATATAAAGTACTGCATTTCAAAGTTGAATTTGTAGACAGGAGATGGGACAATTCTCATCAGGACTTTCATTATTATTTTGGCTGTTGTATTGCACAGCTAGAGGAGAATAATGTTTTATTTTTAATTTCTCGATTTGAATTTTTTTTCAAGTTTCAAAACGTTTTTTGTTTAACTTTCAAAGACAATAAATAAGGAATTATATCCATTTTTTTCTAGTTTTAACCCTATCACTACGGGTCATGGGTCAAAGGCCATGTTATCATGTTTGTTGACTTGCATTCAAAATTTTATTGAAATACTATTTTATGAATTTTGTTAATAAGTTTGGTATCAAACTGTAGATTATGATTAAAATTTAAGTAATATATATTATTCAATTTCTTAATTTAAAAGTAAATATTAAACAAACATAGTTAAACATCGATTTTTGTGTGTCACATGAGATGTTGAATGCAGCACTGGTTCAAATTAGATGTTTTTATGTCAAACTACAAAGTATATACTTTTGTATGAATTATGAACTCAAACTACCGATATTAACAAGCTAGAATATAAAATAAGAACCTTCTGTCTTTTCTATTTGCTGAGATATTGCTCATGTACTGAATCAAATACAGTGGTCCCGCTCACCTCTTTCCATTTTTGGAAATGGTGCATTATATACATTTACTTGTGTATATTACATGTGTATAACCAATTGAAAGCTCAGTATGTCCCCCTAGTGGCTTTCTCAGCCAATTTCACGTGTTAAAACGCCATCTAGGTAGGTTGTATCTTTAGTCTGCTTGAAATTTCTTATTTTTTTAGACCGAAATACAGCTTAGTTACTAAACTTGATAAGTTATAGTGGAATTCTGTGGTATTAATATAGTATTTTATGATATTTTACTTATTCCAATGTATATATAAAACCTAAAAAAATTATTTCGTTTCACATCCTACATGTGTGGAATTTCTTAAGGCTTAGCAAGCTACAAGAAGCAACAACCGAGTACAAAGGTCATAACAAGAAGAGATAATTGTTTGCTTTACTTCTTCATTTACTGTTCTCTGTGTTAAAAAAAATAAGTTTAAGAACTTATTTGTAAATAGTAATAATGTATATACATATTTAATAATTGAAATGTGACTGTATTTTACAAAGTACTAGTCCATTAAAACACAGCCAAGACAAGTTACTTTGCACAGACCAAAGGTCAGTTTTTATATATTATTGGATATGGAAACATGAGTGCACGTGTGTCGAATCATTGTAACTTCTGTATCCTAAGTGAGGCACGACTGGAAGGTCAATATAATAAATATATATAAATGTATAATGTTATGAGATTTGAGCTATTTAGACTAAACATATGTATTTTTGTGTTATAATTTGTGTTCATTCTAGAACAAAAAAGCATAATTTATATTTATTTCCTAATTTTTTATGGTGGTTATGAAGTCGGTCAAATTGACAGACCCCGTATAGTTAGGGTAGAAAAAATAACAGACAAATTATAAAGTTTTACTGAAACAAACATTTAAAATGTATTTAGGAGGTTTCAGAGATTACACAAATAATATTTGAGATGAAGAATAGTTTTTTAATCAGGACATGAAAATCACTTCGCACTCGGACTAGTAATGAAACAGACACAAATCTTTAGTAAAAATACTTCATTAAAAAAATCTGACTTTTTGTGTACAAAAGAGTTGGAAGAATTACTAAAAGTATACCAAATTTTGTGAAGATAAACATACAGCATTAAAAGTTATAAATACTTAATATGTGCAAATGTGTATACAAACTAATTTATTTTAAACCGAGCCCATTGTGAAAGGGTTAACAGATGTTACGAGATGTTTACCTACTTCTAATGAGATATTTTAAAGAATACATAATAACAGTAAAGATGATTCCTTTATGCAGATTTCTTTTTTTTAATATAAAGGCATATTCTGTTGTCATAATATTTAGTTGTTTGTAAAACTAGAAGTTAGAAAAAGTTACAAAAGCTTCAACACACATAATTATAGAGAAGGAGCCTTATACTTAACAAAATATTTTGAGTAAAATCATACAAGATATATGGTAGATCCATACAGTAACTGATTCTTAACAATTGTTATTTACAATTGAAATGTTAACTAAAACAGTCTGTTGGAATTAAAGAAGCTATGAATCATTAGATGATATAATTTTATGGGTTATAAAATTGGCTGTTTCTGAGATGATAACTCACTTCTTCACTAAGAAAAGCTATCTTCCTTGTGTGTCTGCCTTGCATGACATTAGCCTTGAGGCAACTTCCCCTTAATTTCTTGTTTTATGTGAACTGCACTGGTGCATGATAACATTGTCATGGAACAAAAAACTCTCCAGCAGTAGGAGGATGACACAGTCTCCATGTGTAGTAACTATGCAGTTTCATTATTCTCCTTGGCATTGTATTGAGTACATTTGTTTAAAACTTCTTGTTTGAGCTCAATTTGTTGAGATTTGCATTGTTAGCAAAAGTTTCATTTTTATTTTTTTGGTTTTTGTTACTAAAGATTTAATTTTTTTATCATGAATTTTCAAATGACAGTGACTTATGCTTGGTGCTGTGCGGGTGATTTTATTCACACACACAGGCCTTATTTCTACTATGACTTCTGGAGGCTTGCTAACTGTTGGGAATGTTGCAGCCATTGTTCAGTGTGTTGTGGATTACCACATACTTACTGGATCTCTTACTCCCAACCCATCAACCGAAATTCTTTCTCCTCAGTCGCGATAGATCTATTGGACTACGAATTTAACCAGATTTGCTTTTGGTAGTGCTTTACCATTCATGGAACGATCTTAACTTTCCAATCTCATTGTGGACTTCATTCTTAGGTATATTTGTTTTCTTGTCTTTTGCTTTTATCCTTTTATATTTCTCAATTTTTAATCCATAATCCCAGTTCTTGGAGTTTACTTTGTCTTTCCTCCATGCTTGTTATTATGATTTATACTATTTCCTTTCTCTAAGAGCTTTTTGTTTATTATCACACACAAAAGCCTTGTTCCTTTTGCATTTGTGACTCTTTTCTTGTCTTGACTTGTCGAATTTCTTCCTTTCCTTTTCTTGATTTCTTCGTTATTTATTTGGCCAGCTTGGGGATCGGGTCTCTTGCCTACTATTTCGCTTTCTGTTTCCTAATTTTCATGTTTTTATCCTTTTCCCACCACCCTCATGTATTTCCTCTCCTACCTTCACCTTTTGTCTTAGGCACTTCATTGTGTACTTCACATGGGTTTTCTGTAGAAGTTCTTTTCCTTCTCTTCTGCCAGCTTATTCATTTTCAATTCTTCTGCACTATTTCTTCTCACTTTGTTCCCTTTATGTTGGGAGTTGTTGGGTCAGATGTATTATGTATTTTAATGAAATTATTTTTGTCAAGTATGTTATAATTCAAAATTTTATATTATCTCAGTTTTATTCCTTTATTTCAAAATAACCTCCAAAACATTAATTAAATATTTTTGTTCACTGTCACTTGACGATCTTGTGATTCAAAATACCTGAACTTTAGAGCCAATTTACAAGAAATAAGTATATGTAATGAAGACGTGATTTGGCAGATGTTTAAAGTACACTATATAGCTTGCTTTCATGTAACTCGAGTCAAAATCCTAGAATTTGTGCCTGAGGAAAGTGTAAAAATTCTTTTAGTACAAGGTAAGCCAAACCCAGTTCCAAAATAGAAGCTATGTTGCTGAGAGGCAGTTTTAAGTTGAATGACATGCTTATAACCAATATAAAGAGCAGATTTCCTGTGGGAAAGTTGCCAAATTAAAAGTAAATGTAGACCTATACATCCACTTACAAACGAGGCGAAATAAAGCTTAGTCCATTGTTGAGAACAGGGTCCCTAATGCTTGGCTATTTTTTGTTACCTAATATGTATTAGTTTAATAGACAGTTAAATTGAATTTAGGTTTTACTTATATATATATTAGTTAATTATGTATTATTTGTGTTTTAAAATTCCTATTTGAATTGTTTAATTATTTTTAAAAATTTATTCTATACTTTGCCTCGATCAACAGGCATTTTGTTTGGGGCTAAACTGTCTCTCCCCATGGGCACCTGTTGATGTGTGTCAACATAAATAAGATAAAGAAGAAGAAAGGATAATAAAATATCAAAAATAAACTATGAGTGAAAATGTAAAGACATGATATTACACATATCACCCAAAGAAGATATTTTAACCGTATGGTCTTCGGCTATGCTCTCAGAGTGAAGATAATGTTGTTCTCATCATATTTCCTTACAAAAATAAACTATGAGTGAAAATGTAAAGACATGATATTACACATATCACCCAAAGAAGATATTTTAACCGTATGGTCTTCGGCTATGCTCTCAGAGTGAATATAACGTTGTTCTCATCATATTTCCTTACAAAAATAAACTATGAGTGAAAATGTAAAGATATGATATTACACATATCACCCAAAGAAGATATTTTAACCGTATGGTCTTTGGCTATGCTCTCAGAGTGAATATAACATTGTTCTCATCATATTTCCTTACAAAAATAAAAATAGTGGATGAAATTGTTTAAAATTTGACAAGAATGTCTAAAGTTTTTTTAAGGTAAACATTTATATTTTATTTTCTCTAGTATACCACTAACTATATATATTATCATCAACATACAATGCAATGAAATGTTTGAAATTAACAAATGGAAATATGTAGATACCTTTCAAGTCTTCATAGAAATTCACTAGAATAGTCTTCTTTGTGTCATATATGTAACTTCACATCTTTATCTTTTCACTTATAGTCTGTTTTTAATTTTCCTTTCAAATTCTTTGTCATTTAATATTTATGATGATATGTCGACTGATGCCCGTGGGGCTTCATGAAGTTATTTTGGCAGACTCTGCACAGATACTCATTGCAAAAACAAGATGGTGCTTATAAATGTGATGCCTCTTGTCTTATATATACGGTGTTTATAAGCTTTCACAATCCTGTCGACAACAAGTTAAACTTATAAAAATCATTAAACCTTTCAAGAATGCATTTTAAAACACAAATAATACATAATACATTAAAATATAAAAGTAAATCCTAAATGCAATCCAAGTGTCTATCAAACCAATACATATAAGGTGATAAAAAGTTTCCAAGTTCTACAGACACCCAAATAGAACAATGGACTTGGCTCAATTTCAAACTGTTACATAGCAACACAGCTTCAACTTTGCAAGTGGGTGTGGCTGACCTTAAACTAAGAAAATATTTACAATGGTTTCTTTGAAAGTAATGAAGATAATAATGTATGAAGGAAGCCTTTAAAGTGCAGACACGGTTTCTTCTCTACCAGCTCTTAAAGTTGAGAAATTGTAACCATGACAGCAAAAACTGAAGTTTTACATGTTGTTTTACATGTTTCTTTTGAAATAAAGGAATATAAACTTAGATAATATAAAACTTTAAATTATAATGTACTTGATAATAATAATTTCATTAAAATACATTGATAGTAAAGTGCTTTAATTAAATTTTGAATGTAATGCAGTATCAATGCAGAAATGAATTTAAAAATGGTGCCAGGGGCAATAGCGTTAAGATTATTCCAAAACATGCATACCTCCGCTGCCACTTGTAGCTCTTATAGCTATTTCTCAATCTCCATCTTCCATTATTTTTTTGCCAACTGAACAATGTCTTCACTTTCTCCAGTCTTTTATATCCCACTCAACTGTTCCTGCAACACATAGAGCTCATTTGCCTCTTCTCCCTCCTAACATTCTGGAAGAAGAGTATCCCTGCTCGAAATGTGATGTAGTGTTCCATGGGTGTGCCCCTTTGGAGCCCTTACCATCAGATGTCACACTCCTTTGGTCACTTTCTGAAGGGAGTTCATGTAGGTAACATTTTGCACTGGCCCCTCCACCAATTCAGTGTAGGATTCTACTTTTCTGTGTGTGGAGTTGAGTTATTTTCTTGGAAGTTAACATTTTCCTAATCTCAAAACATATTTCTGATGGATACTCTCCTCTTCACACATTCCCACCCATCCTTCCCACTTCTGGTGCACATTTTCATCTTTCCTTAAAGAATGAGATCATCACAAATACAAGTGCAAAGAAGTTGTGTTGTCCTCCTACTGGTGGAGGGCTTTTGTCGCATGTATACCAAATTAAAAAATGGTCTGAAGTTCATCAGCATGATGTTATCTTCAAATATTTAATAACGTTTAGATTTATAAATGTTATTCAAATATATAAATATATATCATGAAGAGTTTAAGAGGACAAGAAAATGTTTAACTGTTTTTATGTGAAGAGATAATGCTTTTACTGAGCTTTATCAAAACATGTTATCCAGTTATCAATGTAAAGAACACATGAAAGTTTCCAGACAGGTATTTTGTTTTGTCATGGTCTATCTTTAGCATTAAGCATGTAGCATTAAGACAATTAGAACATAAAATTGTTGATAACTATGATACAGTACTATCTATAAACCAATATATACTGTAATCTCCTGTAAACTGTGGTATATTAATTATTTCTATAAACTATAGTACAGTATTTTCTATAAGTTAGGGTACTGTACTTCTTTCTATAAACTAAGGTACACTACTTATTTCTCTAAACTGTGGTACACTACTTCATGTGTATAAATTGTGGTACAGTATTTCTTTCTATAAACTATAGTACACTACTTATTTCTCTAAACTGTGGTACACTACTTCATCTGTATAAATTGTGGTACAGTATTTCTTTCTATAAACTAAGGTACACTACTTATTTCTATAAACTGTGGTACACTACTTCATGTGTATAAATTGTGGTACAGTATTTCTTTCTATAAACTATAGTACACTACTTATTTCTCTAAACTGTGGTACACTACTTCATCTGTATAAATTGTGGTACAGTATTTCTTTCTATAAACTAAGGTACACTACTTATTTCTCTAAACTATGGTACACTACTTCATCTGTATAGCTATAAACTAGAGTACAGTACTTCTTCCCATATACTAGGGTAAGGTGCTTTTTTCTGTAAACTTGGGTTCAGGATTTTCGTCTATAAACATCATTCAAAATTTTGTAATTTTCAAAATGGCTAAAACTGAGAAAACATAAAAAATGTATTAGATTTAAGTAATTAAAGCGAGGAACAATTTTTTTTTAACAGAATGAGAATAGAAAGTTAATGTTTTGAAAACTGCGTTGTTTTAAGAATGTAAAAGTATTTTGCTGAAACTGAGATTTGAAAACATATAGTGTTGAGAAATATTACAAATTGTCTGCTTCTAATGCATTCAGTATGGAATAAATGTAAGAATATAATGTAAATTTCCAGTGTTTATTTATTTTCAAGAAGTGTTTTCTTGGTATTTAAGTTACACTGTTTTATTGCATACTGTTTATGCTCATATTTTTAGAATAATTTTTTATAATTTTCATATAATTTTCATAGTTATTTAAAGGTGATAATTTTCTTTGAATCAGTAAGCATCAAAAGTAATAATATATTTTATTTCTTAAAAACAGCAATGAAGTAAAGAAAAGTGATCTCACAATCATCTCTTCAGGAAGTAATTCTTCACTTAACATAAATAGTTCACCTTCAGAAAGTCCTAATCTCCATGCATCTTCTGTAGAAGGTATGTATGTATTTTCTTGATGGATAATCAGTAGAAATATGAGAAGTTGATTTGAATGATGATATTGACTCATAATATAAGATGCATTAATCCTTTCTTAATTTGTTTGTGTTGAACACAGCTCGGTGCATCCTTTCTTTATCTATGAGAATTTTTATTCATTCTATTAACACAAGTGAAAACATAGAGCATTGTTAAAATTTTCTTATGATGTATGTCAAAAGCCTGCCTCTTAAACAGCTGTCTCCTGTGTTTTTACCTGGAAATTTCTTTTTTAAGTCAACTGTTTTGTTGATTGGCAGTAGGTAATTCTCATTTATTTTATACTGTTGGTTCTTCTTTTGTTCTTGACTTGTTTTAGTTATCTGATGTTTTTCTTTTCATTGTAGGTTCTGCTCTCGGTATTGACTTATTGTAGTTTCCTTCTGTGTTTTTTACTCTAGGATCCTGCTCTCTCTATTGACTTATTGTAGTTTCCTTCTGTGTTTTTTACTCTAGGATCCTGCTCTCTCTATTGACTTATTGTAGTTTCTCTCTGTGTTTTTACTCAAGGATCCTGCTCTATCTCTCTATAGACTTATTGTAGTTTCTTTCTGTGTTTTTTACTCTAGGACCCTGCTGTATCTCTCTATAGACTTATTGTAGTTTCTCTCTGTGTTTTTACTCTAGGATCCTGCTCTATCTCTCTATTGACTTATTGTAGTTTCTTTCTGTGTTTTTTACTCTAGGTTCTGTTCTCTGTGTATAGACTTATTGTAGTTTATTTCTGTGTTTGTTTACTCTAGGATCCTGCTCTATCTCTCTATAGACTTATTGTAGTTTGTTTCTGTGTTTGTTTACTCTAGGTCCTGCTCTATCTCTCTATTGACGTATTGTAGTTTCTTTCTGTGTTTTTTGCTCTAGGATCCTGCTCTATCTCTCTATAGACTTATTGTAGTTTCTTTCTGTGTTTTTTAGTCTAGGATCCTGCTCTATCTCTCTATAGACTTATTGTAGTTTCTCTCTGTGTTTTTTACTCTAGGATCCTGCTCTCTCCATTGATTTGTTGTAGTTTTCTGCTGTTTTCCTTTTTACTTCAGGCACTATCTTAATTCTCAAAAAGTTCATTGAATTGTTGGAGAAGGTTCAGAGAAGAGTCACCTGGGATGGTGAGATTGCCCTATAAGGAAAGACTAAAATTTCTAAACTTGTTTTCTCTGGAAAAGAGAAGTGTCACATGGGATTTGATTGTGGTGTTTAAGATTATTAATGGTATTGATAATATAGATCCATCAAACTTTTTTGTGTTTAGCAGTGAAAACAATAGGACAAGGGGTCATAAATTCAAATTTTGGGAGCATAGGAGCTGTCTGTACTTTAGACAATATTACTTTTCAAACAGGGTGGTGGGGGCAGAAATTTTAACTGAGTTCAAGGAAAGATTGGATGAATACATGAATAGTAAGAGGTGGTTATAGTTAGGAGCTGGAAGGGACATCCTTGATGGGTTAATAAGCTCCTTTTTGTCCCTTTAAAATTTTATGAAATTGTTCTATGTTAATGCTATTTTTGTTTCTTCAATGCTGGATCCTGCTCTTGGTATTGACTTGTTCTAGTTTTCTTCTGTTTTTTTACTCTAGGTGCTTGTCTTAATATTGGATTGTTCTAGTTCTTTCCTGTTTTTCCTTTTACTCCAGTTTCTGCTCTTGGTGTTAACTTGTTCTAGTTATCTGCTGTTTCTGTTTTCACTCCAGGTCCTACTCTTGGTATTAACTTGTTCTAGTTATCTGCTGTTTCTGTTTTCACTCCAGGTCCTACTCTTGGTATTAACTTGTTCTAGTTAACTGCTGTTTCTGTTTTCACTCCAGGTCCTACTCTTGATATTAACTTGTTCTAGTTATCTGCTGTTTCTGTTTTCACTCCATGTTCTACTCTTGGTATTAACTCGTTCTAGTTAACTGCTGTTTCTGTTTTCACTCCATGTTCTACTCTTGGTATTAATTTGTTCTAGTTAACTGCTGTTTCTGTTTTTACTCTAGGTACTGCTCTTGGCATTTGTAATTCTTAGTAAATTTCAGCATGATGAGTGTATTGGCTTTTCATTGTTGAATTCCTATTGAAAATTATGTTTATTTATCGAACTAATAATATTTTACCATTCATTATTTTTTTTTAACCACAGTAACTATAAACATAATGGACTGGGGTAAATTTCTCATGACTATGTTCCAAGTTTATGTAAAGCTTGGCATTCAGAAATATAAAATATTTCGTTAAGTCTGATGGTTTTATAGTATATAAATGTCTTAGAATGCACACAGTTTATGCAGTTATAGCACACTGTTTGTTTGTTGGATGTCACCCGAAGCCTTGCAAGGGCTATGTACTCTAGATGTCCCTAATTTTAAAGTGACTGACTAGTGGGAAGGCAACTAGTGAATGCTACATATAATGTTATACCTTGGGCTACTCTTTGCAGATCATATAGTTGGATTTGACCATCAGTGTTATAATGTGATAATATGATGCAAACTGAGGAACATCTGCTGTTGCTGCACGATTTGACATTCTAACCACTGTTCACCCCTCTTAGTTATAGAAATTAAGGTTACTAAAGATGGAGTTATTACATAATATCCAAAGCCTACTAGACAGTAAACATTAGCTAGTAATAAAGAAAGGGAGAATTTAGGTTATATGCATAGAAATATTGAGTACAAATAAAAACAGATCATCTGTTCTCTCTATAACATTTTAATTACATTTTGTTTGTAATATTGTGAATTTCTCTTCAAAACTAAACATTTTTAGTGCAATTTATATGTACCTTAAAAAGGGGAAAACAGAATAAAAAATTAGTATTGTACAAAATATAAAAAAACAAAGAACTAAAGAAGGACTGCAAAATTAGCCTTTGATTTAAAAACTAATAAGAGTTAACTTTATGTAATTTATTGTTATCCCCTCCTGGTGGTCATCAGGGGACCCAAGTTAAGCAATAAAAATGTGGTCGTATATTCCTGCCTGTGTTTGTTGTTTTATTTAATTAACTGAAAAGAAGCATGCAATGCTTAAAATATCACCACCTCTGCATCTAGGAGTTACCAAATATGCATTGTTTCCACCTCCTAACAGTGAGATCCTACAACTTTCTCTGTCCCTGATGGTTAGAATATGAAAGTTAACAAAAAAGTATATGTTAATACAGTCATGATTAAACAAAATGTAATGTACTTGGAAATTTTAGTATAGCTATACAGCAAACATTGGATTAATTTTATGTATTTGTTGTGTTCAGTTTTTTGTAAGGAATAACCTAAGTCCAGAGAACTATTTGCTTGGTATTTATTTTTAATCAAAACACTGACTGCTATTATTTTTGCTAACATATTGTTTCAAATCATTTCAGAAATGCTGAGCCTTATAGAATCTGATTGTAATTTTTTAACATTTTCACTTTTGTGAAGATGTATTTCAGGAACTCCTTGAACTAACTGTACTGTTTATTCATAGTTAATGTAAAATTTTTAATCATTTAAATTTGTTTTAAATATCTCACTAGGTAAGTAATAATTTCAGTGACTAGAAAAGAAATTTATTACTGTAAAACGATTTATATTAATAATTGAAAGCTATATAAGAACTTAGGGAAAAAACGTTTTATACAAAATTGAAGTTATATTTTTTATTTTAAGGCCTTCAGTATGTTAACTTACATTAATCTAATGATTTTGTGTTCATATTTACTTAAAAGATTTGACGACTTCACCTGTGCTAAGGGAAAATGAACATCAAACAGATGTTGATGTAAAAGAAGAAAAGGCAGATGAAATTTCCTTTAGTCAGTGTTCTAATCTTTGTAAGTTTCCTTTATTTGTTTATATATTAACCCCTTGTTCACAGGCTTGGTCAGTTTGACTAATCCTGTAACTGTGAAGCTTTACATAATAATGTTTACTGTAATTTTGAATTTACTTCATGTTTTTTCATAAAATGTAGCAAGCTTTCTATTAACTCTTTCAAGACGGGTCACGGGTGAAAGGCCATGTCATCTCGTTTGTTGACTCGCATTCAAAATTTTATTGAACTACTGTTTCATGAACTTATGTCAATAGGTTTGGTATCAAACTGTGGATTTTAATTTAAAAGTAAATATTGAAAAACACAGATAAACATTGATTTTTATAAATGTATAATGTTATGAGATTTAAGCTATTTAGTTTAAATATTTGTTTTTGTGTTATACCATATGACTTTTAGTATTATCAAAAGGATGTAATATTTGACTTATTAGAATTTTTGTTTTCAATACTTAAAGTGTTTTTAGAAGAAGCATTAAACATAACAAATATTAGTGAAATGTTTTGTTTTTCCTTTTTTGAAATTGATCCTGTAAATGTGTGTAGTAGTGTTATCTGATCTTTTTTTTTTTAATATTATGTATATAGTGGATAGTTGTGACTTGGAGTTAGTGGAAACTATAGCTGGCCTTGCAGAGAATGATTATGGCTCTGAGGACATGGATAGCATTTTGAGTACCCAACCACTTAAACAGAATGATGAAAGTGAAGCAGATGATGATGATCTTGTGACTCTAGAAATGTCTCAGAGATTCTGGGAGGATGAGAATTTGAAGCAACTCAAGCAAAGTTCACAAAAGTTAGATGAAAATCCTGTATCAAATGGTTAGTTTAGTTTTTCTTTTTATTATTTTCTTTGGGCCTAGTATTTATTTATAGACCATTAACAAAATAGTTTATACTAATGCTAATTCTAAACAGTACTGGAAATATGAAATGTACTGTCACAGGAGAAAGCATTGTTTAATGTAGACATGAATGTCTAGTAAGATGTGTAGATATACAATAGGCTGAACTGTAATAAAAGCAAACAATTATGTAGCAGTGTGCTTCAGTATTTAGTGTGTGTGCTCTGTTTATAGAATATTGCTTGGTCAATTTGCTTCCAAAGAGTGTAGTTATGAAGTATATGGAATGACCTTCTAAATATCTTGTTGCACATCTCACAACTAAACCAGGTTGCTCAACTGCATTTTGACCTTCTCTACATTCTTGTAGATCCAAATTTCCTCTGTGTTGCTCATATTTGAACTCTGGGCAGGCCATAGCAAGAGTTCCAATGTTTCAATTGCCTATTTCCTCACCAGATAGTGTTTTCCTAATTGGCCATATACTCAGGAACATTATCTTGGTGAAACACACACTACCAGCCAATTAGGAATGTTCTTGTGCGAACGTAGTAGTGGAATTTGGTTTGTTTGTACTTTGCTTTTGTCACTAAATCGTCAGTTTTTACTGTGTCGTCAACACTGTTGGAGGAGGTGTAACCCTAAAGCTCTATTGAGCTACCCCCCATGCTTTATCTGTTGTACATTGGTAGAGGTACCATTTCTCTTTCTTTTTTAAAATACAGTACTATTGATTATAAATGAAGAACCTGAGCTTGGCCTCATCTGTAAACAACACCCACTGTCAGGCCTGCTCATCCCACTACCAATTTTAACCATTTTGTTTGTTTGCCTCTTCACAGCAAAAGTGCCCTTGCAATTACATCTGTGTTGAGGTCTCACTGATCCAACTTGTCATTTTTGGGATGACTTAGACATTTGTACTTGAAGCCAGGTCATGGACCAGACCTTTACTGGAATGACATATCTTGTAGGAAATATATTCTGAGATGCTTGATACCACTGGCAGAAAGTTTGGGCTTTATCCCATGTTTAGAGTTGTTGTTAACAGTGTTAATTTCCTTTTTGAAAGCCACAAGTTTTTAACAGACATAATTGAAAAGGTGATATTCATGGCTTAGTTGGTGCAATACTTTCTGTTTGGTTGGATGACAGTTAAACAGTGTACATGCATGACTGTACTCTGGTGTAGTTCATTTTCACAAAATAAAGTGGTGGTATTTCTTTAGTATTTACTACATTTTTTTCTCACTATTTCACAATTGTTTCAACTACTGTATATATACATAGTTTCAGACATAAATATTAACTTCAGGTACTGAATCTTTTTTTAAATTTAATATTATAAGTAATTTTACAAATAGTAAACATTTCTGAAAGTCATATCCAGTTATGAGTGATAATAAAAGCTGTTCCCTTGATATTATTGTCATGTACTTGTTGTAAATATTAATTTTTGTAATAATTCACAAGTTAGGAGGAAAAAAAGTACAATTCAGTTACTCAATCACCTACACTTGGATCAGCCTTCTCTCGTCTGTCTGCAAGCTATGGAACTTATAGTCACTAGGATTCGTGCCTATTCAACTCATTCTTTATGTGAGGTATAGTGTTTGGTGATCATGACTTTATGGGGACTGTTTATTACTTTGGGCCACACACATATGCACGTCCTCTGTTGGTCTTTGTGTGACCACAATAATTCTCCTGTCCCTTCTTCAATTCTTGTACTTGTATGAGTGGCTGGACTGATCCAATTATCACCATCTGTGTTCCATTACCTCCTCCCAAACCAGACCTACACCTCTTCACCTATCCTGGGGAACATCTCTGAATGACAGTTTTACTTCTGACACATGGACCCAGAACAAGTCCTCTCTCTGTAACCATGCACTCGAACTTTTGGTAGACTGTCAGGCATGATGCCATTATTACCACTCCTAGTAGATCATTTTGTTATGTTCCATTCCAAAAACTCCTTGGTTTTTCCTAAATTAACAGCTAGAGGGGAATCTGATCCAGAACCCCTTGCTTTCTAACCCTGGACCTTCCTTACTGAGTCAATTCTTGCCTGTAGATGGTTTCTTCTCCCCCAGTTTCCATTAGAGGTGCAGTCTTGGAGACTCCACTCAATGTTGCCTAGTATGTTTCCTCCCATGTCCTCTTCATCTCATTGTGGTTCTTCCTTATCCATAGACATACTTGCCCTGTTCACATGCTCAACTGGGTCCTCAGTGTCATCTTGCACACTCTTACCCATGTCTCTTTCAGCCATAGGCAGTTTCCAACTTGTACCACTTCCTCTTCTGACATATTCCTTGTACTTCTTGCTTGTGGTCACTGTCATTCAGGTCTTTTTGCTAGCAACTGATCCCATAACCTTTCCATTATTTTTATATTATTATTTCTATAGATCCTTCCTCCCTCAGTCTTCAACTGCTTGGGGAGGAGACCTCTCCCTTCCTTCTATTGTCATTTGGACCCAGACAGACTTTTGTGCCCTGTTCATATTGTTTGTTACTATTTAGCTCATACCCCTCACTTTCTGGGTTTCTATCTTCCATTCCACATTCTCTGGCATTCCTCTAGGAACAAATCTTCTTTTACCTTTATCAGTAGAGTCAGCCAAAACCCTTGGTCTACTCCTCATAGGGGGTTGTTGCTCGCGGGTTGTCCAATTTTGTTCCATCATATTTGTTACCTCTCTCATTCATTCTCTTGCTATTTGTTTCTGACAGCTGCTGGATGAGATCCTTCAAGCTGGCATGTGGACTATCTTGCATACTTTGTCACCCACTCTCTTCATTATCTGGCTGTCTCTTTTTGCCATCTTACTGTTTATCCACCATCTTTAGACAGGTGAGTATATTTCTCTTTGGTTTATAGCATTTGCTTAAAGGATCCCAACAGTTAGCTAGTGGTGCATCCGAGGGTACACTTATTTCCCAAAATTTTGCATTGAGCCAAGATAATGGAAAGCACAAATACCATCCATCCTGGCTCGATATATGCCCACTGTTGAGATGGGGGTGTTCTGCAAGATGGGGTATCCTTGTGGTATATCCTGATATCTGTCTGCTGTCTGATATAGACTGCACCTATTCCATGGGGTGCTTTGCCTGCTTCCCTGGCTCATGCTTTCTGGCTTTTTAAAATAGATTTACATGGTCACCCGTTGCACTGTCTCCAGTAAACGACCTTTTAAGCTGCAACAGGACTGATAGGGATCCATCATTTTCTCCCCTCCATGAACTCATCCCCCCTTTTTCTTCAAGTGGAGCAAGAGAGACACCAGTTTCTAGTTGCTGGGTTGGGGGACCGTGGAGAACCCTCATTGATTGAGACCTAACCATCGGTGCTAGAACATGGGGTTCCATTCAGTGTGAAGTGGGATGGTGGTGACATTGTCAGTGTAGTGCAGGTCACTCCTCACATATTTATACCAACATCATTCCAGAAGCACTTCATATTATAATGTGCCCTCCTCCTGCAGCCTGCAACTTTCCAGTATAGTTCAGGTGAGCACATTCCAAGATGTGTGCCCTTCTCCTGCAGTCGTGTCTGTTCAGTAGAGATGGAACTCTAAATAAATGTAATGATAAAGTGGAAAAGTTAGTACTAAGTCAATATGAAAAACCTGTTAAATTTACAATTTACAAGAACGTCAGACTTGTGTAGTCCTTTTAGCATCCAGTAATAAGAATATGAATACAGAACGAAAACAGAATCATTAAAGTGAATTGTTTCCACTTCTAATGCCTTTAATTTAACATAACAGGAAAGGAAATATTTTTATTTATTGGCATCAAATAAGATAGATAAAACATTAGTACAATGCATCTCTTGTCAATAGAATATAATGGAAATTTAGTTTGTAATACAATTAAAATAGATTCAATGTTTCTTAAAGAGATATTCAGGTATTCAATAAAATATTCTCAACAAAACTAATTAATGACCATTTTGTATAAAAATAATATCAATACATATAGCTTTAAACCTAATCTAATGATCAACATGCTATTTTATAAACACAAGAAAAAATTTTTGTTGTAAAATTGTGTTCCTTACTTTTGGGCAATGGGTTCATAATAAGAATGATAAGTGGTCAACTCATCAAATCCTGCTATTCCTTAAAGCAGACCAAGTGCTGACAGTGTGTGTGATGCTCACTAGCTTCTTTTCCCCTTGTCTGATGCTTCAAAATTAGGGATGACTAATGCAATTTCGAAACATACTTACCTCTACTGCCACTTATACCTATTACTCGACTGCTTTGCCCATCTAAGCAGTAATCTGATTTTTTCTCGCTTGTTCCAGTCTTTTATACCCCACTCAACTACCCTTGGTGATAATTGTCTTGTAATACTCTCCAATGTGCCCTTTATCTTGGTACTGTATATAAACACCTCATTCAGATAATTTTATCACTTTTTCTCGACAAAGCGTCACTAATGGGTTTTTCAGTATTATGATTGTTTGGAGATACTTTGAACATTATCGTGTTATCTAGTTGATTTCATAATTGTAATAATAATTTTCAACAAATTTCGTCATCCAACTCGCAAGTCAATTATTATTTACGGGGCAGAGGCAAATAGGGTCTCTGCTTTCCCCTCTCTGATATCTAGCATTGCACAACAATTGGGGGGGAGGGGGTCACTCTCAGTTGAGACTGCCAGTGATCTTATTCATAGTGAGATGGAAACATATATTCAGATCTATGGTGGTCCTTTGGGTGGCTCTGAGGCTGCAATTGAGGGCAATCCTCAATATTTTGGGGAGACTTTAGATTTGCTTTTTCCTGTACCTTCCTTTAGTCTGTTGGATTTTAAGCCCCCCTGTGAGTCAGTGGTAAATTTATGGACTCGCAGCACTGGGGTCCGATTCCATTGGGTGGATGCAGCATATGGCCCAAAGCTGCTTTGCTCTAACAAAACAACTTACTTTACCTCACAAAATGCTGTTTCAATCAAT